TATAAAACGAGCGGCCCATGTTTCCTACTATGAATAGGATTGTTGATGCAGAATCTCTTACAATTCTGTCCACGTCTACTCACAACACACTACCCTATGAATTGGGAATATTTTCTCCTGCATGATATTATAGGAGGATGAGATATTCTTCATGTATGACTGCGATATTATATGGGCAAACGTGAACAGAAACAGAATAAGATTGGTCTTTTGGAGTTTAAAACGATTGCGGTGCGGCGTTTATGCTTCTGTGGTTCTATCTGTGTGATGACTGTATGAGTTGGGTCGTTATGTCATTTTACAGAGAAGAATAAAACCCAGAGAATGAGAGAGCCATTCATTTTCTATCCAAGGATTTGCATTGGGTGAAAATGATTTGCTAAGGTTGATTTGTAAAAGTTATAGGTACAGATAGGTTTGATAAATTAATTATTCATTTTATTGTAATTCATTGTTGAAGATAAGTTTTATAAGTCAAATCATGCATTTTGCAACTCGGATCCGCTTTTAAAAACCCATCATATGATATTCCTACGGATATAAAGCTGTTTTTGGAAATGATGTAAATGGAGTGTAAATCCCGATTTAGGGTAAATTTACATTCTGCTTTACTTTTGTCTGTGTTTGGCAACATTACATTTATATATTGATAAATGACAAAAAATACATTTTTCAATACATGTTTATACTGATAATAAAATGTAAAAGTACATCAATAAAAAAGAAGTAAATTTGCATTCAATTGGGCTTTTGGTAAAAAAAGGCATACACTTTATTAGAATTCTTATTTGCATCCATTACAGGTAAAAGTATGTTTGGTAAGAGGTAAAATTTGTCGGTGCAAAACTAACCCAACTTTTCAATTTATATGGACCGTTCTACACACTACATATTTGCATTCACACTTATTTGCATCGCTTCCAAATGCAATCTAATTTTTTTTTACGCCACTACTGTACATAAATGTCATTTATAGTTATTGTCAGAAAGTATCCGTAATTTTTTTTTAAAACTCAGGAAATATGTTAATTTATAGTTACTCTTATAAGTTTTGGTAGTATTTGGAAATTATTAATGTAGTAAAAATTAATAGTTCTTCAAATTTATCAAAAACATCTTTGATAATTTTGGAAAGTTATATATTAATTCAATAGAAAATTAGAACTAATAAAAAATTATTCAACTTTTGGAATTTTGATTAATTAATTATTTAGAAACCTGTGATAAATTATTTATTGTTATTTCACTAATTATTGACAATTACCAAAAAATTAGTGTACTTTCTGATTTTTAATCATTAGTTTACTTTTATTTTCTGTTTTTTAATTATTAATTATTGAAAACTATCAGAAATTAGTGTACAATTATCAAAAAATAGAGTTATTTATTGTTATTTAATATCTAGTTTTTATTATAATTTATTGTTGTTCTTTGATCTTAATCCTTTTTTCATCAAATTGGGCATGGGATTTCCCGTGCATCGCATGGGTCCCCACTAGTGTGTGTGTATATATATTGACCATTAATAAAAATGGAAAGGGTAATCGTTCCATTCTAAAAACTCCTTGATTTTAATTTTCAAAATTACCCCTCACTATTATTTCTATTTATTTTTCCATTGTTTAAAAGTCCATTAGTTTTTGTCTTGGAAATTCTGATTTTTATTTTAAAAATTACCCTCATTATTTATTATACGATTTATATGCTTTACTCCTATAACTATAACTATAACTATATATATATATATTATGTATTATGTATTATATATAATAATTATATAATATAGTAATATATAGTTTTATTTTCAATTTTATTACATTACATATATAAACAATTGTATACATCAAAATTCATAAAACATAAAATTTTAAGGTCTTTTTATTTTTTGTATATATTTTTTAAATGTTAAAATTTTCATTATTTTTTCAAAAATTTTAAAAAATATGACTTGACCCGGTTTGTGGCTCGGCCCATAACACGGGCCCGCATGGGCTCAGGCCGTTGGTTGTACCAAGTTGAGCCCCAAAATATCATAGGGGAGGGAAGCACGGCCTGCACTTTGCATGGGCCACATGCAGATCGTGCCGCACCAGCCCAACATGGCCCAATTTACACCTCTAGGTGGTTGATTAGAAAAATATGTATACAGAAATAATGTAGGTTTTTAGACACTTGAAACCAATGAAGTTCCAAGTGTTTTTGCTCTTCATTATCGATCATATTCAGTCTTTTACCTTTCATCTCAAGAAGTTTCAACAACAATATATGCCAAAATCGTACTCAATATCATCTTTATCACAATTGCAAAGCTCTATTATCTCTTTCACTCTTTTAAGTTATGAAAATGCAATAGGAGTTTTGGTTTCACATCATGCTTTAGTTTAAAGTTGAGTTTCTTTGATAATTATTTCTGTTTAATTAATTTTAAGTAGTTAGGGTTTTGGTTTAATAAGTTTGGACTTATAAGTTTCAAGTGTTTTTCATCTTTGGGTATAATTCTGTGTTAAATCATGTGTCTTTAGCAGGCTTACATTGCCCAAATCAAGTTTGTATATGTAATTTCTAAGCATTTTTTCTGGTGTTTTGTAATTTGTAAGTTCTTACACCCTTAATTCTCTTAACCATCAGTGAAAGATAATTCTCTTAATCATCAGTGAAAGACACCCTAAAAATACCAAAACTTAGTACTTGTTTAGGGGCAGAGTTAGGAAATTGTTATAAGGGGAGCCAAAACATAAATGAAGTATGGATAGGCCCATGGGGGGGCAACCATTGAGATGGAGAGTGGGGAGAGGGGAAAATTTACATGGAAAGTTGTTTTTCAGTGGGGAGTTTCTGAACCATAGGGGGGGCCATGGCTCCCCTGGGTCCCCCGGGCTCTATCCCTGCTTGTTCTACATGAAGATCTAAGTTGTTTGCTTTCAACATCCTGCACTTGCAAGCTAATAGCAAAAACCTCGTGCTGGTTTGCTTTTGGCATCCTCTAGGTTTGATTTCAACATCTTGCACTAGAAAGTTGACAGAAAACCCCCTATTGCTAAGCTCTTTAAGTGAATTGAATCTATCCCACACAGTTCCAATTTGAATCACTCCTTGGATTTAAATTTATTATTGGCACAAAGCATTATGGTTGGTTCCACAGTCCTCTAAGTCATTGCACTAATGTTGCAATATGAAGCTTTTTGTGTACTTATACACGCACACACACAAACATTACATTATATGTCAAAGGGAATCTCTGATCATGTTTTAAGCCAATTTTGTTTTCTTAAGACTATCGCTCACACTCAATTAGGTTGAAGTAATTGAAGTATGATTTCATTTTGGGACAATCAAACGGATTGACACTAAAACAAGTAGGGTAGAATCAAACAAGTGGCTACACCCAACTTGGTTTATATCTAATTGTGGTATCATTCATCGATTCAAATATCTCGTGCATTGCACGGGCCATTGTACTTGTGTGTGTGTGTGTGTGTCTATATATATGTCTTATTGAACTGTCTGACCTGTCTAAATTGATTTTGATTAAGACGAAATACAACCCAAAACTGGTCCATTGATACCTGTAATTGTCGATGCACCTGTCAGTTAAGCTTCAGATAATATTAAGGTATCCATTTTTGCAATCAATCTACAAAAAGGAGTCAGTAGTGATAGTACAAATTTTATAATTTCATAGTGCATCCTTTCTTCCCAAAAGTTAGGGGAGGCCACGAGCCAAGCTCTTCACAAGCTTCTCGAACTCGACTTGTGAAAAGCTTGGCTCGGCTCGGTTTCAACTGAGCTTTGAGCTGAGCTTGAGCCTAATAAAGCTCGACTCGTGAGGCTCACGAGCCAAGCTCAAATAGCTACATACATGCATGCGTACATACATATAATAATAATAATAATAATAATAATAATAATAATAATAATAATAATAATAATAATAATAACAATAATAATAATAATAGTAATAATAATATCAAATTATAGAAAATAATATATATAATAAAAATACTATATATAATAATAACTAATTATTACAATTCTTAATTTTTTAAATATCAATTAAAAAATATTTATTTATTTATTTTTATAAAACATTTTTCTCAAGTCGAAATCGAGCTTACGAGCTTTTGACTCGAGCCGAGTTCGAGCTTAAGGTTATAGCTTGAACCAAGATCGAGCTCGAGCCTTGTACTACCTTGCCGAGCCAAGCTCAAATAACTAGCTATTCGGCTCACCTCAGCTCGAATCCACCCCTACCAAATGCCCCTGTATATAATCCATATTCTTGCCATATGATATTATATTGGTATTTGGTAGATATGATATTGGTATTTGGTGTCTACTACTAATTTAAAGTAAATTATTTTTTATATAATTTAGAATACAAAAATTAATTGATTTTTTTATGTGACATTTGTTTTTGCTTTAAAAAAAAAAAAGAAAAGCAAACATGTTTGGGAACACCCCTTAAAATAGCATTATTTCTTTGGTCGCAAAATTTGACATTTGGTTTCCTGAAATCCTCAAATGAACTAGTGGTTAAAGGAACATTTGAATACAAAAATTTTCAGGTACCATAGAAATTGCCAATGGAGAACAATTGGACGTGAAACTACCAATAAAAGTAGGGACCTACATGCCTGAAATCGGCCTTTTTTTATTTTTTGCGAATTTCTCGGGTTTGTTTGGTTCAAGATCGATCCCAAATGTTCGTAAAAACCTATTATAATCATCCCTTTCTTTTTTTTCTTTTTTCTTTTTTTTTTTTCATTCTGGACGAAAAGCACTACTACCCATAAGCGCAATTCTTTAATTTATCATAAGACTCTTGCGGTTCTCTATTCGAGCCAACCTCCGACTCCTATATGGGAAAATCAGACTTTTGAAATTGGGTCTCCATTGCTTTCCAAGACAGTTGATTGATTAATGTGAAACTAGAATTCTATAAACTAGTTTGGTTCTTTTTTATCATTTTTTTAGGGCCGTTTGGTTATTTTTTATCAGTGATGGAGAATTTGTCATTAGATGATATTAAAAAGCAAGCATCTTCCTTCATTCAAGAGAAGTACAAAATACTCAGGCTCGCCTTGACTGATGTTACTCAACCAGAACTGTAAGTGTTTCATACTGAAATTGATGTTCAATAATGAGGAACATCTAATTGGTTATCTAGATATTGAATCAGCATTAAACCAGTCATCTTATGCCTGATCTCTTTTTCTTTTTCTTGTAATGAAGCTCATGATCTGGGGGATAATTTCTCTAACTCAATCGCTTTTGGCCAATCTGATCATCTCTCAAAATCGATTTACCGACTGATAAATTAGGGGTCGTTTTACAACATGAATGTTTTGTTTTCACTTGTTTTTGGAATTGCCACATCAGTTGAACTCTGAGTTTATTTTTAAAGGGAAAAAACATGTTGGTTTTGTTTCTAAAAACAAAATATTGGTTTTTAAAATAAAACAAAATTTCTGGTATAGAAATTATATAATTTATGGAACATGCATGATGTTGAATAATCAAATAAAAACATGATTCTGAAATCAGATTCAAGAACTTGTTTTTAATTTCAGTTTTAAAAACAAAAGACACATAAGATGGTATATTGATTTGTTTTTTGAACCAGCAATAAGAAAAATAATTCATGTTGTAGAGCACCCCCTTCGGCCATAGTTTGCAGGGATCAACATTAAAAGTGATCACCACTACCTATTTTTTCTAACCATATCATTTTATAATATATATAGGTTGGCTGAGGAGGCAACTAATAATGATCCATGGGGCCCTGATGCTAGAACAATGACAAGAATAGCTCAGGCATCCTATGACATTGATGACTATTGGAGAATTGTTGATGTTCTTCACAGGAGGTAAATTAATTGTAAATTCTTGGAAATCTGATCATTTGACCTAAAACTAATTTAGGTGGTATTTGGCAAGTTTTTCTATGCAGTCTTTTAGGCTTTGGCAAGTTTGGAAGACTAGAATAGGTCTTTCTATATTTGGTAACCAAAAATTAGTAAGATCAGAAGACACGTATGCAGAAAGACCTCAAAAAGACTTGATAAATATCCTTCAAACACATTTTTAAAATCCCAGTAAACTGACCCAATTGCAAAACGGTCTTTATCTTTAAAGACAAGACCTCAAAAGCTCAATACATCTTTTGGCTATCTGGGCTATTGGAAGATTTTTCTAAAAAGACTTTCTAAACAGCACCTTAGGCCATGTTTGGTTTGCTGCTTTGGGCCTCTTTTTTTTTAATTCTTGCTCATTTTAGACAATAATGAAAAATCAAGCCATAGCACAAAAATCGAGGCATCCTACAGTATGAAAAATAATCATGCCCCATCTTGCTCATTTTCATTCTTTAAAGAAACTCTATGCCAATGGTCATTAATCACCATCCTAGGTCTACAAAACCACCGCCATCAACGTTTATTGGTAGATTGTCATGAAAACTTATGCTAACGGGCATTGATCGCCAACCATCCACCAGTAAACATCTATGTGATGATTTTGGAGACCTAAGTTAGTGGTTCATGACCATTAACACAATTTGTTTTAAGAATGAAAATGAGCCACATATATGGCACTCGCCAGTTTGAAATAATTCCTTTTTAAGATAAAACCATTTGGCTCATAGCAATATTTTCTCTTTCTACCCATTTTTACCATTCTTGTCCATTTTAGAATTTCACCTTAGGTAAGAATGAGAAAGAATGAGGGTTAAACCAAACATGTTACATGAACACTTGAGAGGCATCTTTTGAGTTTTGAGTATCCTAAGTTGGCCTGATGTATTTATCAAGCTTTGCAATAAACAAATTAAGAAACTTTCATCACTGTTAATTGTTATCATTTGTTCATGCATTTAGACTGATCCATGTATATTTTTTAATTTGGAAAATTCTTATTGTAGGTTCTATGCTATTGATCAAAAGCTATGGAGGCAATCCTACAAGTCATTGATTCTTCTTGAGTTCTTACTCACTCATGGGCCTGAAGATTTTGTTGAAGAATTCCAATGTGCTACTGAAGTCATTGAAGAGCTTGGAACATTTAAATATGTAGATGAGCGAGGGTAACTTATCCATTTTATCCATTTATATTGAGCATATTGTACTTAGGGCTGCAAATGAATGACATCAAATCACATATACGTATAAGTAAATTAAACTAACAATGATAAAAATATTATATTTTGGTGATGCACAATCTGGATGCTTCCTCGTGTCTTGTGATTTGGCTCAAACAGGGGCCCAACCTGGCAGTGACGAGCTGTATGGCCAAGCTGGTATCTGTGTGACCGAACTGAGTGCAAGCTATAAAGAGAAAGGAGGTGAGGGTGCCCGAGTAGTTTTTACCCAGGGAGGGCACTCTGATGCTTAAGTCAATGAGTGTGTAGGACTAATCTCTGAGAACATAAGGGAGCTTTGAGGGTATCAATGTGCATACCTTTCTGGGGGGATCTAGACGTCTTAAATAGGCTCCTAGACTCAGGGGGCTTAGGGTAACTGTCATGAGCTCTTTGTGGAGTTGTTTCCCAATTTTCGGGCGCAATAAGGTGTCAGTTAAGAGATCTTCACGGGAGTTACGATTCGTTCGCATAGAATCTGGCGCGTGACACGATGATTCATTCTAAAGGTCGCACTATCAGCGCCTTTGGAAGCGAGCTACTGGGGACGGTTAGCAAGCTCTTCCTCGTAGGTTGCCTTAGGTCCTCTCAGCTTGGTCAGCTCCTAGGACAGCTCACCAAAATCTTACAGGTCTGCCAGCTCGGCCTTACCGAGCTGTACTAGGAATTGCAGGGGGTTGTTAGCGAGCTCTCCTTAGCAGGTCGCCTTAAGTCCCTACAGCTCGACTGACTCCTAGGACAACTCGCCATAATCCTACGGGGACAACTAGTCCGGTCTCACTGAGGTAAAGGTCAACTTGGGTGAGATGCTCCAAGCTAATTTTATTGAGCTAGATCGCTGACTCGGCACTGAGGTGTCATTTGAAAGTCACGTGTCGTTGTATGATTGAGAAGACCAAATTACCCCTCATCAATTGCCCCCCACTCTTGAGCCAGCGTTAGCTCGGCGAAGAGAGTAACTCTCAGAAAGGGTAATTGGTCCGGTTGGTTTCATAGGTTGCCTGCTTTATTAGCTTGGATTGAGGCTGGGCGAGCCGCAGTTTCTTCTTCAAACATCAAATATGGGGAAAGAAGAGAGCACACGCTGGCTGGTGTAGGATGTTGGCGTGTTGCTGGCATTTATCACATCTCAGGACTAGCTCAACCACATCTGTTTTCATGGTGGGCCAGCAATACCTTTGTCGTAAGGCTTTCTAAGCTAGGGCCCGGCCTCCTAAGTGTCTTCCACAAATCCCTTCGTGGATCTCATGTAACACCCGATCTGCCTCAGTTCGGTGCAAGCTTCATAAATATGGTAAAGTGAAGGATCTTTTGTAGAGCCGCTCGCCTACTATCACGTAGCAAGCTGATTGTCATTCCATCATCCGAACTGCATTTTGTTCTTTTGGCAATATGCCTTATCGAAGGTTGGATCTATCTAGCTTGGCTCTATAGTACATGAAATACCTTTTGTAGAGCTGCTCGCCTACTATCACATAGCGAGTTGCTTGTCGTTCTATGAGTCGAGCTGCATTTCATTCTTTTGGTAATATGCCCCATCGAAGGTTTGATTTATCCAGCTCAGCTCTGTAGTACATGAAAAACCTCCTATAGATTTGCTCACCTACTATCACATAGCGAGCTGCTTGTCGTTCTATGAGTCGAGCTGCATTTTGTTCTTTTGGCAACATGCCTTGTCGAAGGTTGGACCTATCCAGCTCGACTCTGTATTTGTTATGTAAGCGACCTCTTCTGCCCCCCATTTCTATAGATGGGTGAGGTAGCTCTTCTATGTAAATTGTTCTTTTTTGTCGAGTCAATCATGCTCGCAAGTTTGTAAAGGGCATCGGCCTATGTATTTTTCGATCTCAGAAAGAGTCAAAATTGGAGAGTTCTCTCACCTTGGCCAATAAAGGCAGTCATTGAAGGTTCTCGCACTTTGTATTCCCCATTCACTTGATTTACGACAATCTGTGAGTCAATGCACACTACAAGGTGTTTGGCTCCTACTTCCTTTGCTAGTGCCAATCGAGCCAGCAATGCTTCATATTCGGCCTCATTGTTAGAAGCTTGAAATTGAAACCGAAGCGCGTACTCCAGCTTTACTTTGCTAGGTCCATAGAGTATTAACCCAGTTTCGCTCCCCCCTAGTTAGACGAGCCATCCACATGAAGTATCCAGGGCTCCTCATCCCTACTCTGCTATCTCACGAGCTGGGAGTGGTGTCGCGCTGGATGAAGCTTTCGATTCCCATTCTGCCATTATAGAAGGTGGCGAGCTAAAGGTGCACTCAGCAATGAAGTCTGCCAGGACCGGTGTTTTTATCGCTGGTCATGTTGTATTCATTGAGCTTTATGGTATGGGCCTGGGAATAAGGTCATAGCTTTCGAGTAGTTAGCACCAGCGCAAAGGTGAGCTTCTCTATGTCGTTGTGTCTTATTTACTTCTCTTACTAGGGCCGAACTAACAACCTCGTCACTTGCAGAGAGGTAAAGTTTAAGCTCGTCCTCGGTCTCAAGTTTGGTTAACAGCGGAGGCAAGCTAAGTTCTCTTTTCAGCTCGTTAAAGGTGAGCTGTTGTACAGAGGTGGAGTGGCTTGTCATTGAGTCGAGCCCCGAGGTGGCAACTTGCTTTTTCTTCATGGCAACCTGTTGTGCCTGCTTCGAGGCGACTTGCTTTTTCTTCATGGTGAGCTATTGCGCCTTCTACGAGGCGACCTGCTTTTTCTTCGTGGTGAGTTGTTGCGCCTACTCCGACCCGACTTGCTTCTTTTAGGTGATTTACTTCTCTTCTTTTTCTCGTTGTTGTTGTCCCTTCTTTGTTGTTCACTTTACCTCCTGACACTTCCCTTGTCGAAGCGGGCTGGCTTCTTTTTTTTTAGCATGGTAAGTACACCTTCCAAGCTTTTTCCTAGTCCCCGCAGATGAGCTGGCGAACCCAGTCCCAGGAGTCGTACCTTGACTCTCCACCAGTAGCTAGTTGTTATCGAGGGTCGCATTGTCGATGGGAGGCTGGTTGTTTAGGTCGTTCCACTGCTGATTGTTCTACTACTGTTGGTCATTTTGTTGCTGGTTGTTTTCCCATGCTTGCATCTAATTGTTACAGGGGGGTTCTCAAGGTTCATCATGGATGTTCTTGCCCCCCAGTGATTGATTCTTCATTCTTGATGTTAATGCTGCTCAAAAATGTCATTGAGTTAATAGAAATGGAAATTAAAAGGAGAGAATTCAGCTTTCTAGAAGGTGAGAACTTAGCTTTTTGTAGCGGTTTCCCACAGACGGCGCCAATTGGTGATGCACAATCTGGATGCTCCCTCATGTCTTGTGATCTGGCTCAAACAAGGGCCCAACCTAGTAGTGATGAGCTGTATGGCCGAGCTGGTTTCTATGTGATCGAGCTGAGTGCGAGCTGTAAAGAGAAAGGAGGTGAGGGTCCCCGGGTAGTTTTTACCCGGGGAGGGCACTCTGATGCTTAAGTCAATGAGTGTGTAGGAGTAATCTCTGAGAACATAAGGGAGCTTTGAGGGTATCCATGTGCATACCTTTCTGGGTGGATCTGGACATCTTATATAGGCTCTTGGACACAAGGGGCTTAGGGTAACTATCTTGAGCTCTTTGTAGAGTTGTTTCCCTATATTCAGTCACGTTAAGGTGTTAGTTGAAAGATCTTCTCGGGAGTTACGATTTGTTCGCATAAAACCTGGCGCGCGACACGATCAGCTATTCTAATGGTCGCACTATCAGCGCCTTTGGTAGCGAGCTGTTGGGGACAGTTAGTGAGCTCTTCCTCCTAGGTCGCCTTAGGTTCTCTCAGCTCGACCGGCTCTTAGGACAGCTCATCGTAATCTTACAGGTCTGCCAACTTGGCCTTGCCGAGCTGTACTGGGAACTACAGGGGGTTGTTAGCGAGCTCTCCTTAGTAGGTCGTTTTAAGTCCCTACAGCTTGACTGACTCGTAGGACAGCTCACCGTAATCTTACAAGGTCACCTACTTCGGTCTCGCCGAAGTAGAGGTCGGCCTGGGTGAGATGCTCCAAGCTAATTTTATTGAGCTAGTTTGTTGACTCGGCACTGAGGTGTCATAGGGAAGCCACGTATCATACGATTGAGAGGACCAAATTACCCCTCATCATATTTTATTAATAAAATGAACAAAAATTAAATGATTTTGATATTATATTTTATGAAGAAAATGAATTGAAATTTACTTGTATGAAAGTTGAATGTATGACGATTTAGTAAAAGTACAACATTAATTCAAACTATCCTTACAAACATACACACACATAACGAATCGAACTAATAGATATTGAATCAGATTTATCGGATCAGATAGGAGTAAGCCATATATATTTGCAGCCTTAATTGAACTGGCCAAGCAGGAAAAACCATGCATATAGATATAGTTGGGATAAGGCTTTATTGATCAGTTAAGTTGTTAAGGATAAAAATCCTAGAAATGGGTTGCACCTTTTAACATATATCTATAATATAAGTTCAACATATTCTTTATATTCTGATCAGTTTGGGCTTGTTTCAGGTTCGATTGGGGTATCAACATGCAAAAGAAGTCGGAGAGAATACTGGAACTTCTAGGAGGAGGAGAGGCACTCAAAGAAGCACGCCACAAAGCACTGAAAATAACTAAGGAGATTAAAGGGTTTGGTAATTCAGTGTTTCCTCCTGATCAGTCCTCATCAACCTCATCCTCTAGAACTTCATCGTTTGGCTCGCATTCCAGCAACAGTCCTAGATGGTATGATTTAGAAGAGCTTAGTCCACATGAACCACTAAGCCCAACAAAAAATCTGGGCGAGAGTTCTTCAGAAGGAAGCAGGTTACCATCAGAGAAGCCCACTACTTTTCCTGGTGCTAATGAGGACGCTGAAGGATCACATCTCTGGAATTCTCCTGTTGAAGAATCAGGGAATTCACTTCTCAACCCTGAGAAAGAAGCGGAAACAGACGGTGTTTCCGGTGCAGTTTGTTCGAAATTCGTTGGTCCCAGTAGTCCATTAAACTCGGATGCCAAGAAAGTAACGCTCAGAAGCTTCTCAGACGTCGGGAAGGTGGTGAAGAAGAAGATTGATCGTCAGCTGTCCATCAGATCAGCGTAAATACCAGTGTAAAAATGACCTGGATGGTGCATTTTGTGTTGCATTTTTGTCACCAAATCTCTAACTCTCTAAGTTATTATGAGTGTCTATATGTCTGCCCTCATCGATGTAATCTTGCTATGACTAAAATCAAGTGAAAATACCTCAAAAGTGCATGATACTATATTACAAGTTACTGCAGTCTCACCACTTAGGGCTGCAAACGGATTATGATTGTCCAAATTTGAATTACATTTGAATTCGATCCATTTATAATTGGATGGAGTATGTATCTTAATGTTGCGTGATATGGTGCTCCTTGTTGGCAGATAGCACGGATGTCGAACTGAGTAGGTTGCCTAGTCGAGCTTAAGTTAGCGAACTAGATGCTTAAGTTAGCGAATTAGATGTTTAATTGCAAGAAAGCAAAAGAGTTAGAGTGTTGTGAGAGCTAAATCATGCATACCTTTTCTGGTTACTAGGGTGCCTTTATATAGGCAAGCTGCCATGAGCTTCATGAAGTGTGTGCGAGATTACTCGCCCATCTGATTCGGAGGTGGTTTAATGCCCAGAGGTGGACTCCATGTAAGCTAGTAACGCTTAACCGGTTGTGTCCAAAGCAGGTGGGGCGTGGATCTACTCCGTTGTCGGGGCGTCATGATCCTAGGGGAGTCAAAGACGATAACCCGCTTAACGAGGAGGTCACTCGGCACGTCGAGTAGGTCGCTAATCGAATTCGGGTCAGGTCAGAGAAAGCAGGTTACCTCTTACGCTAACCTGGTGTCTTGCCATGCCGTTCATAGCTCGGCCAGCCGAGGTGGTCAAGGAGGGTGCAAGGTGTTCGAAACGCTCCCGAGGTCTGCTTATGTGGTGTTGAGATGTTGCTTGGCTGTTATGTGATGCCACATGTCATCACGACGTCATTGGGGGGCCTCATCAATTGCCCCCCACTCTCGAGTCAAAGTCGGTTCGGCAAAGGAAGTAGTTCATCGCAAGCCTTTGGTCCAAAGTGATGGGTCTGGTAAGTTCATCGCAAGCTTGGTCTTCAACCGCCCAGTCTAGAGAGCGAGTCATCGCATGCATTAAGTTTGAATTTTGAATTGGGCATGTAAGTTCAAATTTCGAATTTTACCGCCAAGTGCCAAAGTGGTTGAATTGAGCGCGTAAATTAAAAAATTAAATTCGTCGCCTAGTGGTGAATAGGTGTGCTCCCTTTCTGGGTCGTCAAATGAAACACATCTCTGTCATCAACTCCTGCATTCGTCTACTTTAAATAGGGGGCTCCCCGATGGGTTCCCATTGCCTTGTTTTTGGAGTCCTCCAAAGCATTGCTTGAACGAGATCTCAAGCAGCTCGCAAACGAGTTTGGTTTTTTGCGCAAGGTCGGTCTTCTCTTAGTTCCCGATGAGTCCTTATTTTTACGTTATGTCTAGTGGGTCGGAGCGGGAGTATCCCCAGGCCACTCGAGATGAGGTGCGGACCTTGACTCAAGAGAGATGGGGGTCCCATAGAGGGGCCTCGACCTCTCCACAACCAAAGACCAAGTCAGAGTTTGGACCTACCGAACTGAGTGGGTAGGAGTTAGTTGCCTTGGCGGCGACCTTCCAGATTCCCGAGTCCTATGATGGCTTCATCCTACCCAGAGAGGATCAACGTCCTTGGAACCATGGGTGGACAAAGGAATGCGTCTTTGAAGAGGCGCTTATCGCTGGGCTTTATATCGCACTACACCCTTTTATTTGCGGGGTGCTTTCACACTACAGCATTTTCTTAGGGTAGCTCTACCCGAACTCAATTAGGACACTGGTAGGGATGATATCCATCTATTTTCACCTCGGCTTAGAGCACAAATTTATTATCTTCCCTGGCTCTACCAAATAAATAAAATGCATTAGGAGCCTTACAATTTTTATCTGAGCTACCGACATGGTTACAAGCTTTTAAGCGGCTTCCCTTCGAAAGTGGCAAACTGGAAGTCAAGGTACTTCTTCCTATCACGGGAAGATGGCTCGCGCATGGATACCACTTGGAGGAGTGAGCTGAGAAGGGTCCCAGATGTTGAGTTAGACGACAAGCTAGCGAACCAAGTTTTGTTCCTCGTAGAGCGATAGTCCTTGGCTAATGAGTTTTTGGCCGAATCAATGCTCATTGGGAATGGACTGTTACGTGGATAGGTCATCCGCATGGTACATTATTATGTTGATCTCTTTAGATTTTCCAACCTCACTAGATCACTTTCTTTTTTGGCAGGTATGTCGGACTTGGCGTCTGTTTTAGCTACAAAGAGGAGGGCTCCCAAGAAAAAGAGGAGGGTGGCAAGGTCTACACATGCTTTGGAGACAAAGCAAGAAGTTGTGGAGAGGAGGCTACTGGCTAGGGAGCCTGATGTGGTGGACATCAACGACGATAACGTCGGTCCGACCTCCGTTGACAACGCGACCATGCCTAACCAGTTCACTCTGCCCCTGACTTACACGTTCCCCGACCTTGCCTATGAGGGGTTTGGCTTGTGCGGCCTAGTTTACCTCCTGAACTAGGATGTCACTACCACTGATAGGATTCAAGATCCTCGTGTTGACTTCGAGGTGAGCACTGGCATACTTCTTCCTGAAGATGGGTGGGACTTCAGCCAAAGGAGTGTCACCAAGAATACTTCAGCCAACGGAGTGTCACCGATAGGACTTCAGCCAATGGAGTTCCGCCGACCGCTGTAGTATGATAATTTGAGACACGTTGTCGGTAAGTACTTGCATATTTTAACAGTTGGTCTTCCTATATGTGCACCTTGCTAACTCTTTCTTCTTTCTAGGTGAGTTGTATGACCCGGGCTCTATATGACCGCACCATCACTATGGAGTGCAACACCGCACATATGACAACTGAGAATGAGTCCCTTCGGTTGCATTTGGAGAGTGCTCAGTTGTAGGCCCAAGAAGATTGTTAGCGGTTCCTCGATGCGTCGTCTAGCCTGACTCACCAACTAGAGGAGGCGAGTGACAACATCACCAAGCAAGCTCGACAGCTCGAAGAAAGGTGGACTAAGTAAGTTGAGGACATCTAGCGGGCAAAGCAGCTTAGTGTCGAGGAGTCCTAGACGTTGTCTGAGTTCGAGCACACGAAGGCGGAAGATGCCATGCCACATTTTAGGAAAGGATTTCACTTGTTCCATCGCTACCTTCGACAGCTACATTCGAACTTCAACTTCGGCCACATCTCGGCCAGCTCGTTTCCAAATAAAGTGAGCACCCAGATGGATGCTGAGTTGGACACTTCGGATGACATGGAGGATGGAGAGGATGAGGTCGAAGAGGGCGTTGGAGAGCGGGATGCTGATGATGAACATTAAACTGCCTCTTTTCTTGGAATCCCCTTTACACATGGATGCTTAGTTTTTTATTGAACGAGATACTTTTTTTGAGTAGTGATGTACTCTCTTTTCCTTTTTTAATGAAAACAACCTTTTACACATATTGTCACCCTTTGCACCTTTTATTTTCAATCTTAGAAAATAGGTTAAGTGTAGAATGCAAGTCGAGGTGACGAGGTGCACCAATTGCTTAGGTGCCAAAGCGACTAGACTTGCAATTTCAGCTAAGTCAAAATGTCGTTGAACTGTATATCTCCTCGGCTAAGTCGAAATGCTACCGAGCTATCGACGTCTTCCAATGTCAGCCTAGGGGGCCTTAGAGCTTAAAACGGTTTGGCTTCCCCTTATTCATTTAGCCGAAGTTCCTAAAACATAGGTCAGCTCGACCAAGTCGCCATAGTGGGCGGTCTATACTTTTGCACTTAGTGTAATTCACAATTCTCAAGGATGCAGCTCGAAACTCCAAACTCTTCATCAATTGAACTTATTTAAGTTGTCGACGTTCCACGCACGTAGGGATGGCAATTTTCCCCTTTTCCCTGATCCCCATGGGGATCCACCTCGAATGGGGCGGCGATGGGGATGATTTTCCCCTCGCTGGGATAGGGATGGGAAAATTTTCATCCCCGTTAGCATGGATGAGGCGGGAGCGGGGAGAGCACTCCCCGCCTACGGAAACCCCGATCCCCACCCCGTGGGATCCCCACTAATATATATTTATATATGTGCTTACGTTATATATGTATATATGTACACATACATCTATATATTAGTATTTTTAAAAATATGGTTGAATATGTTTGAATCTTTTCTAATAGGATTATAAATTTTAATTATTTTATTTTTATTTTTTAAATAAAATAACAAATAAAAACAAAATGTTTAGCATTATAAAAACTCACGAGGAATGGGGATCCCCGTGGGGATAGGGATGGGGATAACCTTGTCCCCGTTAGTGGGGACGGGGAGAGGCTCCCCGTCCCTGCCCCGCCCCATTACCATTCCTGCATGCATGGGGCACCTTGGCTCCCATACGTGCCTTCACCGATCACCCTTAAGACTCTATAGGGGCCTTCCTAGTTCGGACCTAGCTTTCCCGTGCCAGGATCAGGTACCATAACTTTCTTGAATACCAGGTCGCCAACTCGAAATCGGCGTCTCTTAACACGAGTGTTATAGTACCGAGCTACTCATTGTTGTTACGTCGCGATCCGGATGTAGGCCAAGTCAGAACTTCCTCCACTAGGTCGAGGTTTGTCCGCAGCTCGTCCTCATTAGCCTCTTCATCATGCACCTTTAACCGCAATGTCATCACTTCGATCTCAGTTGGGATGACGGCCTCTGTCCTGTACATCAAATTGAAGGGAGTCTCACTGGTCACTCGCAATCTTGATGGTAGTTTGATAGGCCCATAGAACACTGTGTAGCACGTACACCCACAAACCTTTAGCTCGAGAGAGTTTAGCTTTAAGTTTGCGAAGTATTGCCCTGTTCGTCACTTCGGCCTGACCGTTCGACTAAGGGTGGGCCACCACGACAAAATTATGTTGGATTCCCATCTCGGCGTACCAATTATGTAACTTGATATCCTCAAACTACTTCCCATTGTTTGATATCAACACCCTGGGGAGTCTGAATCTACATACGATGTTCC